TTACTTCAAATAAAAATAATCTCTTAAAAAATGTAAAATAGCAGCTTGTTAGAAATTTAGTTTAAATAGTGACCAAATACATATTCATTCATCGTAAAGGGAGTGTTCGCGAAAAATGAAAGGGGGTATAGACTTACGGCGAAAAATATATTGTAAATATGTAATATTTATTCCATGACCATAACTTGTACATATATTGTTATCATTTAACCTGTAAACTAGTTTGAAATATACATTATTATCATTATTAAAAATAAGCGCTTTTGATCGCTACTAATCTTTCTTCTATATGTTGCGTCTAAAAGGAGAAAATTGTTAAAAACGACTCATACCGCAGAACTTAGCGTCCGTACAAATTCAGAAAGTTGCAACATTTAACTGGGATCGTAAACTAATCAATTTAATTCCAAACAAATCATTCAGATACTAAAACCAGATGGCAACCATGTGGACAAATGACGTAAACAATAAAATGGCGCGAAAAATAAAAGAAAATGGCGGGAGAATATTTGTGAAAATGGCTGCCAAATGGTTGAAAGTATTTATTTCTGGAATATTCCTTGGTTTGCTGGCAAGGTTGGTTGTCAAGGGAATAACAGATGAATAGTGAAGGGAATATGCTTAGCAACCCCCCTCCACTTTATAGAAATATTAAAAAATTATCCAAAATAAGTTTCAAGATAAAAATGCATTTCTTTAGATAAAATATTAATTCATAAAGGGTTGGATCGTTCTAAGTTTTGAACTACTTTATGACATATGAGCCAAAACTTTATCAAAGTTAAAATGGATTCAATTATGTGAAACTTTTACCATTAAAAATGTTATATTACTTGCACAGAACAGATTTTAACTTTTGTATTACATTTAGAAACATTATATCTAGACAATTTTTGGGGGTGTTATAAAAATATTCTGCGAAGAAGGAATTTTATTTCTTAACTTTTTAAAAGCACAGTTTACTAAATAATAACATTATTTTTTATGAAATTAATTCTTATCAGCTGTTGAGATTGATAAAAATATATTCATGAAAACCTTCAACAAAGAACGAATTTTTAAAACTTTAATAATAAAATTCACAGATGATTTGTTTAACTAAGTCATGATTTTCTTTTGAATTAGATTTCATTTCAATATTTTGTTCCTGAAATTAAACATTTTATTTCATTTGTCAGGATTAAGTATCATCAATAGACCTATTTGATTTCATTTGTCAGGATTAAGTATCATCAATAGACCTATTTGATTTCATATGTCAGGATTAAGTATCATCAGTAGACCTATTTGATTTCATATGTCAGGATTAAGTATCATAAATAGACCTATTTTATTTCATATGTCAGGATTAAGTATCATCAATAGACCTATTTGATTTCATATGTCAGGATTAAGTATCATCAAGAGACCTATTTGATTTCATATGTCAGGAATAAGTATCATCAATAGACCTATTTGATTCCATTTGTCAGGATTAAGTATCATCAATAGACCTATTTGATTCCATTTGTCAGGATTAAGTATCATAAAATAGACCTATTTGATTTCATTTTTCAGGTTTAGCATCATCAATAGACCTATTTGATTTCATATGTCAGGATTAAGTATCACCATTGGACCTATTTGATTTCATATTTCAGGATTAAGTATCATTAATAGACCTATTTGATTTCAGATGTCAGGATTAAGTATCATTAATAGACCTATTTGATTTCATATGTCAGGAATAAGTATCATCAATAGACCTATTTGATTTCATATGTCAGGATTAAGTATCATCAATAGACCTATTTGATTTCATATGTCAGGATTAAGTATCATCAATAGACCTATTTGATTTCATATGTCAGGATTAAGTATCATTTATAGACCTATTTGATTTAATTTTTCAGGATTGAGTAACATAAAATAGACCAATTTGATTTCATATGTCAGGATTAAGTATCATCAATAGACCTATTTGATTTCATATGTCAGGATTAAGTATCATTAAGAGACCTATTGTTACGATGTGCTAGCAATTAAAAATAAGGGTTAATTTCATGTTATGAACATTACTTATCAACAATACCCAATGACAAGGAAAATATTTTTAAAGAATTTAATAAAAGTACAAATTGTTAACGATAACTTTTTTAGTTACAAAACATACATTTCTTCATCTCGTTAGCACATTATATAGATCAAAACATCGTTAAGCAGTAAAACTGTAAAAACCATCAATTGGTTAACAGAAATTAAATTAAAAACTTAACAGTAACAGATGAGCTTTAACTTATTTTAATTTAATATTATAAGCTTTCAAAGTTTCAAATCCAATCTTGTAGTTGCATGCTGTATGTTCTCAAGGTTTAAAACATTTAATGTCATGTTTTAATTGATTTTATATTAAAAGTAACGCCTATTTAATTGCTTTTGAAATGTCGGGGTTTTTGGAAAAAACGTTATAAAAAGTTTGACGTTGTTTAAAATGAAATTTCATGAATAGTTGCATTTTCATATAGAAATTCTTTTAAATCTCTTCAAACAAACTCTAGTTTTCACACTTTCTATCTGTAAACTTTAGTTCTACTTTCTATCTGTAAACTCTAGTTCTCACACTTTCTATCTGTAAACTTTAAACTCCAGTTCTCCTACTTTCTATCTGTAAACTCCAGTTCTCCTACTTTCTATCTTTAAAATCCAGTTCTCGCACTTTCTATCTGTAAACTCCAGTTCTCCTACTTTCTATCTGTAAACTTTAGTTCTCCTACTTTCTATCTGTAAACTCTAGCTCTCCTACTTTCTATCTGTAAACTTTTTTTTCTCCTAGTTTCTATCTGCAAACTCCAGTTCTCACACTTTCTATTAGTATAAATAGTAAGATGAGAGAAAACTCTTTTAACGGGTATTTCACGTCATTTATTTAATTCGAGTTTCGTTGTGGATCCGGCCCTTGATGTTTTATTTCATATCAAAAATTTCATTGTGGGCACAGGAGCACAGGGTGGGGCCTGTGGGCCCAGGCCCCCCTTTAGTCTGCTCCTGCCTGCATAGATCACTGCTTGTTTCCAGAGCTAGGATTTTAAAAATAAAGCCTAAAATCTATCCTAGACTTGAGCCTTCCTTACGCCCAGGTCTTTCCTTGGGTCTACAATTAGTCCCAATGATTCTAATTGGTTCTGATTTGACCAATGAGAGAGCTCTGTCTGCAAATCAGCTGATAGATCTGAATTGGCTCAGTGTAAATTTCGAAAACCCAAACTTTACATATTTGTTTGCATTATTTTTAAAGTGTGTTTATCTTATAAATCTAGCAAATTCGAACACTACAGATACTCCCCAAGATTTTAAATGTAAAAATATGATAGTATTTACGAAAGTTAAGGTCGAGACACAAGTCTCTATGAGTTGTGAAATCAACTCGATTTGGTTTTACTAAATCCAACTCGAGTCTTGGCTTGGACTTCCCTTTGGCGTAAATAGACACTAAGACCGGGTTTATCTTGAGTTAAAACTATTAAAATCTCAGCTCAGGATTCACAATCCAAAAGTTTAGGCCTCAAATCTGACTAGACCTATGCTTATTTCAACACTAGCTGCTTTAAGCAATCTTTTATTTCATAAACAAAGTGAGTTAAATAACACACAAGACTTTAATTAAATACTATGTTTATAGAACAAGCTTTTCTTAAAAAAATTTTAGCTGCCAATTGTTGCTCTAAAAGTCGTCATTTTTAATCATTTTAAAGTTTTTGCGGATTTCTTTTAAATTTTCGCTCTTTCAAAATAAAAAAATGTTGATTTTTTTCCAGTGGAAAATTCCAATTTGGACGGTCCATGAACCTGAAACAGTTCAGATGTTTTGACGTTTATTGGATAAAAAAACAGACATTCGATACAAGTATATATATATATATAGATATGAGTTATACAGTGACTAATAAAATAGCTTTCACATACTAAAGATTACTATTTATTTTTTTCTTCAAAGATTAGAAAAATTAAATTAGGTGCGGAATATATTAAATTTTGATCATATGAATTAAAAATTTCAGTCCCATGAAGTTTGACAAATTTATCTTTTGTTGTAATCTCCTTGAAGAAAGCTTATTAATCTCCCTGTAGATAGTTCATTAATCTCCCTGTAGATAGCTTATTTAATGTCCTTGTAGAAAGCTTATTTAATCTCCTTGTAGATAGCTTATTTAATCTCTCTGTAGATAGTTTATTTAATCTCTCTGTAGATGGCTCATTTAATCTACCTGTAGATAGCTTATTTAATCTCCCTGTAGATAGCTTATTTAATCTCCTTGTAGAAAGCTTATTTAATCTCCTTGTAGATAGCTTATTTAATCTCTCTGTAGATAATTTATTTAATCCCTCTGTAGATGGCTTATTTAATCTACCTGTAGATAGCTTATTTAATCTCCCTGTAGATAGCTTATTTAATCTCCTTGTAGATAGTTTATTTAATCTCTCTGTAGATAGTTTATTTAATCTCTCCGTAGATGGCTTATTTAATCTCCCTGTAGATAGTTTTTAAATCTCTGTAGATGGCTTATTTAATCTCTGTAGATAGCTTATTTAATCTCCCTGTAACTAGCTTATTTAATCTACCTATAACTAGCTTATTTAATCTCCCTGTAACTAGCTTATTTAATCTACCTATAACTAGCTTATTTAATCTCCCTATTACTAGCTATTTAATCTCCTTGATAACTAGCTTATTTAATCTACCTATAACTAGCTTATTTAATCTCCCTGTAACTAGCTTATTTAATCTACCTATAACTAGCTTATTTAATCTCCCTATTACTAGCTATTTAATCTCCTTGAAATAGCTTATTTAATTTCCCTTTAACTAGCTATTTAATCTCCCTGAAATAGCTTATTTAACCATTAAAATAGCTTATTTAACCATTAAAATAGCTTGTTTAACCATCAAAATAGCTTGTTTAACCATTAAAATAGCTTGTTTAACCATTAAAATAGCTTATTTAACCATTAAAATAGCTTACCTTATGAAGGTAAACAGTCTGTGTTCGGCTCCTTTCCTCCGGCAATTAGATCTGAAACAACAATAAATTGAAGGCGGGGAAGATGGTGGGAATTTTAAATCTAAAGGGACTGTGCTAGAATTTCATCTGACCAACTATTTGAACAGGGATATTTCAGATTCAAAATGGCAACCTTTAAACCTTCATCTAAGCAATAATAAGAAAGATATCGCCGTTTAATGTCTCTTCTACATAAATTCGTAAGTCCCTTCTGTACAGAAACTACAACCTAAAATAATCAAATTTTGTCTAACAAAAACACGGATATCTCATTCATTCTTAATAAGACAGAGGTTTAAAGCGTACTGTTGTGAATCAGACATGCCCCCCTGTAAATCAAGTATTCAGTTTCTTTTTTGAATTAAATTAATCTATTTCAAGATACACACTATACGGGACAGGTCTGCAATCAGTCCTAAATGAGCCTATAGAAAATTGGATAACGATCAAGGGGTAATCAAAACATGAACAAGGATAGACCAGTAGTCGGCGGGGTAAAAACAAAACAAACAAAAATAAACATTTCAACCAGAGATCAGCAATTAAACAAAGCCCCTTTCATCATGAAGGGCCCAGTAGGCTGGAGCGGGGGGATTAAATGATAATTAGTCTAGTACTTTACGAAAAACTGAAGTCTTTGTTAACGAGAATGTCATCCTCTTGGAATTTGAACATTTTGAACAATTTGCTTCGATTAAAGGGACTGTAAGCGTTATTTAAAGTACCCCTCCTCCATACAAAAACAATTCCCGATTTAGATATCAATGTTTATAATTTTGATTACTGAATTTTTTCAATTGTGGTTTCACTACAAAAGTGACTCGCGCATATCTGTACTGCAGGTACTTAATGGGACTTAATATTTGAAACCTAGAAAAACGACAATATCTACCACATCATTAATCAGATAAATGTTTTCAGAGTGTTAATCGATTAGAGTTCCTCTAAACATAAAAGTTGTGTAAATTTACCATATTTTTTCTAGTTTTCTAGATTTTATTAAGAAATATATTCTTTAGAATATCTCAAAGTTTGATATTTCAGTTTGGTTTTGATTTTTCATAAAACTTCATGGCATTTCCGTAACATCTAACTTATATGGAAGCAAAAACCACAAAACTAAAAGAAAAGATGTTTTCAGACACTCCTAACTAACTGCATTGCCATTGGAAAATAATTGCATTTTATTGTTTAATAGCCCGGCGTTGCCCGTGAAATTTAAAAAAAATCAAATTTTGAGAAATTATTTCGATTTTGGAACATAAAAAAAAATATAAATATAACAATATATATTGATATATAACAATATATATCAATAAGCGAGAAGAGCTTTATTCTATTGATTTGAATTTAGGTAATTTTCTAATCCCTACATCTTTGCAACCTGATGGTGTAAACCGTTGATATTTCAAATATACACTTCTTGATCTAAAAGAATTTATAGTCTGTATTATCAAAGGTTACGACAACGGGATAAAATAAATTAGTTTGTGGCAAATATAATTCCCTTCTTGTTGTTTTCGCACACTAAGCGGAAAAAAAATTGTGCAAAATTGTTGCCGCTAAAATTTGTTGAAAAATTAGGTTTCTCACGCTGCCAACAAAGCAGTATGTATAACAGAAAGCCATCAGACATTTCTTAAACAGAATCGATTATTGTGAATTTCGGATATGCTCAAATTATTTGAAGGAGAATTTCTTGTAGTTCTTCATACAAGTAAATCTAGATTATACCGAAATATGTAGAAGATACATGGCACTACTGATAATAATATTTCTTCCTTGTTAGTTCTTTAACGTTTTGTACAGATTAATCATTAACATTAAACTCAAGTAAACTTTTCAAATAAAAAAGTAAATAAAAAATATTAAACATATATCTTATTTGGAATACAAACGAAACTCAAACAACCAAAAAGAAATAGTATTCCTATTCCATTTTAAAGAAAGCAGCTGATATAGATTTAATTAACTTTATTTAATTTTCACATTATTTCCTACTTTCCTTCCGAAGTAAATAAATTTTATACTTTACATCCAATCCAAACTAACAAATAAAAAATACAATTAACTGGAGTTCAAAGGAAAAATACAAATAGAAATATTTTCCATTTCGAATTGAAACTTTGCAACAGTAATAATAGCAAAAAAGCTATTAAGGATTATAATTGGTATTGACAAAATTTTAAGGCGAAACTAACTTTCAAAAATGTATTTTTTCCTATAGCTTCACCACTCAGCAGAAAATAACGGTAAAAAAATATATTTCCATAAGTCCCCGAGAAGAATTATCATTCATTATCAATGAATTTTTAACCTTTTATATACAGAGAGCAGGAGCGTGCACACGGATCAATTTGGATTGTTAAGGTTGAAACCCTATTGCACCAAAACTAATGTGCATGCTATTTGAATACAATTCTAACAAAATTCAAACTTTGAGTATACAATGTCAGTTGTCTAAGTTTAAAGATTTTCTTTTCATCCTTATTCTTTAATTTAATATTTCGGATATAAAACCCTGCTACTGCAAGCAAAAAACTAAACGTCACTTTTGTAAAAAATTATGTCCGTAAGATTAATTAAAGACTAAAGTAATTAAAACCCACAGTAAAATCGAGTCCCTAAAAATAAACTGTCTTAATTACTAAATCTTTATTAATATTATTCATCTTTTAATTATGAGGACTCTGGTTTAAAATCTGAATCTTCCACCTTACACCGAAACTTCTCTCATAATAAACTAATGATCTTTTTTTACTGATTCAGTCTGAGTAAACTGTAACGCCTCCTGAACCGACAAACCTCACCGCCGAGAAACCAAGATGGCTCAAGAAAAGGGGATAACTACGCTACATCGATATCTCTATTTCGTAGCACAATATAAACGAGCACCATATCTGCTCTATCTATATCTATCTGCTATATCTTGATGATTCGAGAAAAATGAAGAGATTAAGCCCTAATCTCTTTTCAATGCCCTAGACAGTAGCGCAGAACCATCAATGTTCTACGTGAGTCTAGTTCTTAATTATAATGTGTTTTCTTCCAATTGAAACTAAATGATTCTCCAACAAGCTATTTCACATTTAACACTTCTTAATTTTGGTGTCTGATATCTTCACGTCGGTCGTGTAGATTCTAAATCACAAAAAGAAAGGAACATGCAGGAAGGAACCATCTATGTTCCTCGCCAGTATGTATCCTAAACATATCGTTTTCTATCTTTACGTTGGCTAATTAGCATCAAGACGACATAGCTTAAATAATGTAATGCCATACCAACGTAGATCTTTCATTGGTCTCCGTTAGTACAATCGTAGTAATTTCCATATAGACTACATTGACTTTATACCATTGTTTCATGAAAATTGTATAGTGCTTGCGCAAATTGATTTTCTTCACAATACGCCCAAATTATATGCTGATGATTCTTATATTAAAAATTTCTATTCTATCCGCATACCCTCTTATTGACAATGACTTATTATATGCATTTAACTTTCTACGACTTCAATGTTGCACTCTTCAATTTATATGTCTTGCAGGATCCAAGTATCCTTAAGTCCAAATTTCTAATTTAAGAAATGTATGTATTTAACCCTTATATGGATCTCTCAAAAAAAACAAATGTAAACGAATTTTGAACACATGTAAACTATTTTGTATTTATTTCACAAATCTTAAAAAAATGTAAACGAATATGTCGAACACATGTAAACTATTTTGTACAATTTAAAAAGACAATAAATATTTAGATTTCAAAGTATTTTTTACATCCTCTCTAAAAGATTTAATACACCCCCCTTCCCAACCTTAGATAAGGTGAGAAGATTGGTTAGAGCTAGGAATAGGCAACTTCATTATTTTTTTTTCATTAAGGTTCTTTTTTAATGACCAAAAAAGTTTGGAAACATTTCAAACCAGTAAAATTCAGAATTACTTTTTTCAACCAAAGATATCACAAAAAAAATCACTTCTTTTGAACAATTTTTGAAATTGATTTTTGTTTTGATTTTAAATAGATTGTGAATTTTAAAACCAAAAAACGTTGCCCATCCCTAGTTGGAATCTGCTGGATGCCCATCCCTCGTTGGAATCTGCTGGATGCCCATCCCTAGTTGGAATCTGCTGGATGCCCATCCCTAGCTGGAATCTGCTGGATGCCCATCCCTAGTTGGAATCTGCTGAATGCCCATCCCTAGTTGGAATCTGCTGGTGCCCATCCCTAATTGGAATCTGCTGAATGCCCATCCCTAGTTGGAATCTGCTGGATCCCCATCCCTAATTGGAATCTGCTGGTGCCAATCCCTAGTTATATCTGCTGGATGCCCATCCCTAGCTGGAATCTGCTGGATGCCTATCCCTAGTTGGAATCTGCTGGATCCCCATACCTAGTTGGAATCTGCTGGATCCCCATACCTAGTTGGAATCTGCTGGATGCCCATCCCTAGTTGGAATCTGCAGAATTGAAAAAGACAAGGAAACGAGACAAAAATATGATTTTGCAAAATAAAATCTCATTTCCTGTTTTCAGTTTCCATTTAAACCTAAGAGAAGATACATTAAACATTAAAACTATTTTCCAATATTTTAAAAACTCCTTCCCAGATTGTACTTGTCATATCTTCTTACAGAATGAAAACTTTATATGTTTAAAGCTGCATTTTTTGCATCAAGATTGCACATTTATCTGCTTTATATGCAAATATTAATCAAAATGGAAAAGCTTGCATGATAGGAAAAAACTCTCCTATGTCTGCCAGAAGAGAAATTGTATTAAAAGTTTGTAGAATAAAAGAATACGTTTTGAAGCTTCTGACTTGATTTTCTCGAACTAACAATTTTCGGGAATCAAGCTCTTAATCTCTAATAAACAGCGGACTCTTAATTTTTGTATAAAGTTCGTCTGCGGTCCGGAAATATTATATATATGAATTAGTGTTTTAGAAAAGATAAACGATCTTCTGAGCTATTTCTATTTTTTAGTAATTTTATTTTATTTCATGCTA